CCGAATAAACAAAAATTTTACCCTCCTCTCCCCTCCATTTCCCTTAATGAAGGATTTCTTGTAAAAAAATGATAATAATAAAGACCAAAGGATTTCACACCCTTACATGAAATATTATTGATAAAAAAAAAAATGATTGATACACTTTCTAGTTTAACATACCTAACAATACTTTTTAATTCAGTGATTAAAAATTACATTTGAAAAGTTTTCAATTTTAAATTCAAATTTAAAACATTAGTTTCTAAATAAATGAATTGAAATGTATTGAATTGAAGGGTGTACCAATCATTATATAAAAAAAAAACCCTTACATTATAAAAAAAAAAAACCCTTACATGAAATATTTACATCTCTTAAGCATTATACAATAAATGATGGCAAAAAAAAAAAGAAAAAGAATTATACATTGAATAACTACTGTTATTGATCCATTTTAAGGGAGAAAACCAAAATCAAGTAAAAAAAAAAGAAGGAAGTAAACAAAAAGCTATTTTCATGAGTTTTTACTATTAAATCATTTTTATGTTAAAATTAGCAATCAATTACTGTTGGTGTTGATGAAATTTAAGATATTTTAGCATAACAAAAGTTGACACAACCTATTAATTCAATATAATTCACTCATTTAAAATGAGTTGTAAATTGGGACTCGACTTGTGAACTTGTCTCATTCAATTTATAACCCGTGTGAGAGGAGTTATAACTTCAAAATTTTGAAAAAAGAGGGTCAAGGGTTACTCGCAAACTTATTTAATCTAACTTGTTTAACTCATAATTCAAGATAACCTAATATACCTGATCTACCCAGTTGTTAGGATTTTACTAGACAAATCACCAATGTACACTACATAACTGGAACCTCAAACTTCAAGATTTCTAAATCTCTATCTTTTACACCACAACTTCCTCGTATATTTTGCTTCGTAATATACCTTTTATTAATATGAAAAAAAGGGGAAATGATGAACGGAGAGAAGAAAATGATAAGAGTGGTAGGGGGAAATGGAATATATGATTAAAATAAAGATGGCAGGTCCTACAGCATAATGGAAGCTCGAAATCAGGATCTTCCTTTGTCTAGATTAGTTGTAAAAGGCAAAGCACATCCAACTGGCTCAACATTTTAATCATTTATATTTATAGCTTGCATTTGGTTTAGCTAATTTTTACAATTTATAGTAAATTTTTCCTAAACAATATTGTAAAAATATTTTTGTAAATTAATTTTAAATTACATATATATTAACTAATAATTATAGTGATATGCTAGTTTTAACAATGGAGTGGAGTAATTTTTACTCCATGTGAGAAAAAAATAAAATCAAGATTTTTTGACATCTAAAATGTCAATCAATATCGTTATTAAAATTGTTTCAAAATTTTTAATAATTATTTTTATTAATTTATTAAAATTTTAAAATTTTTATAATTATTTAAAATTTATATAAAAAAATATATAAATCTTTTATAATCATTTTAAACATTTTAATTATCCTCCCTTCATATTTTTATTTAATTAGTATCCCATTTGTTTAAGTTTAATTGAAGCATGATGATGTGCCAAGCGGCAATCGTCGCGCCAATGGGATAAAAATTTATTTTTAATTTTTTACCTTGATAAATTTATAAGTTTTAATCTTTCATTTTATGTTATAATATTTTTAGTCTTTTGTCTTGATAAATTTATAAATTTTGGCTCATCATTTTATATTAAGACACTTTTAATCTTTTATTTATACGAATTAAAAAAAATAGCTATTATTTAATATCAAGTTATAATGTTCTGTTAATTGATTATTAGCTTTGTTAGCTAACTGTTAATTCTATTAACTCACTGTTAGTATCCGTTAACATTCCGTTATAAAAAATATGAAATTTAAATTCAATTTTATTTATTAGTTTCGTTAATAAAATACTAATAAAATACTAACAGTCAGCTAATAGAGTTAACAGTCAACTAACAGAACTAATAAAACGTTATAACATGACTTTAAATAAGAGTTATTTTCTTCTATTCGTATAAATGAGAGGTTAAAAGTGTTATAATATAAGATAAGAGATTAAAATTTATAAATTTATTAAGATAAAAAATTAAAAATATTATACATAATTTATTAAAATTAAAAATTAAAAATTTTCATAATATAATAAAAAAAACCAAAATTTATAAATTTATTAAAATAAACTATTATAAAACTTTGAGTAATGATGCAGCGGATGAAAACACGAGACGAAAATAGGAGACGATAAATAGTGCAAAATTTATGTATATAGTGTAATTACTAATTTAACCCTCTCATGTCACTTGTCATCTCCCATTTTCGTATCGTGTTTTCGTTTGCTGCATCATTATTCTAAAACTTTTAGTTCGCCGGTGGCACGTGAAAGTTTCCTTCTTTTGCGGCTAGTGGGTTATTCTTTTCGAATAAAAAATTTCTTCTACTTTTTCCCGGTCAAGAATGGAAATTTTATTTTATTGATTATTTATTTATTTTAATATAAACTTATTTATTTTTTATTTGGTTTTCTTTTTCTTCTCGTTTGTTCCTGTTTTCTCTGAAACGCAATTGGAAAACTTGTGGATTGGATGAGTTATTTCAAAGTTAGTTGAATCTTCTAGTTCTCAATGTACATCAAACTCATGTTGCAGTTTCTTGCAACTTTTGTTAGGGATTGTAATCTCTTGCAACACAAATTTAAGATTTGTCT